ACACTGACAAGGAGTGGAAGAGTGTTCCTCCAGATATAACAGCACTAGTCTCACTTAGCAGTGGTTAAGTGCCATTGAGTTAAATACAAGTGAGAGTAAGCTTTGCACAAAAGACCTGAACTCTGTTCAATAACTAACATCATTTCTGTACATTTATAGAGTTTAGAGAATTTATAGAGTTTCCAGAGTCATCTAGTTTAGGAAGTGGATGCCACTCCTGCTTCCTCGCATAAATCAAATCTGGAAGCTCGGCCAACATTGTACATAACGGGTAACCATTATGGTATTTGACAGGACTAGGTTATGCCAGGCCATGGTCTCTTGTTGCTTGCTATATGCATCTGAAAACTGGACAATGAGTAAAAGATGCCAGAAGAAATGATGCCATTGAGTTACGATTATTGGAGAAGAACACTGACTATCCCATGGACTGTCAAGAAAACAGTTATATCTTAGAAAAAATGAAGCCAGAGAGCTTCTTGGAGGCAAGAACGGTGAAGGTGAATCTCACTTGAGCATGTTGCTAGGAAAGGCTATTCTTAGGAGAGGGACATCGTGCTTGGAAAGGTGGAGGATCAACAAAAGAGAGGCAGACCCTCAATGACACAGTGAACAATGGGCTTGATTGTCAGATGATGAGGCTGACATAGGATAGAAGGGTTCTGATCTGTTGTTCAAATGGTCACTGTGAGTCACAGTCACCTTGATGACACCTAACAACAAACAGGCCATTTTTCAGTTGACTTTAAGTCTTGGTGACCCCATGCACGGTGCCGCCTGGACTGGAAGTAGATCCCCAGAGCAGTGCACCAGCCTCCATGGGCAGAGGGTGGCGGCTGTTCACGGATGAAGTGCTTTAGGCAGGAACCAAGCCCGAGTCATCCACATGGAAGGTGAGAAATCTACCACTAAACTGTGATTTCTGATTGACCTTCTTAGATTGCACTTTTTTATGTGCTTAACATAGGAGCTGACTTGACTTTTCCTGCGCCTCTTTGGACACCTGTGCACAGTGGACAAGGGACCTGTGTTATCAGTGACTCCCTGTGCTGACATGTCCATCAGGTCGCAGGGAGCAGAAGGCAGGGAACATTTGGAAGCTAAATACATTTTTTAAAAACTTAAAAATAAAAAGTAGTTGAATATGAGTTCTACCATGACAACAGGCCACGTTTGCCTCTTTTATTTTCCAATCCACCCATAATTTTGATGGGTTTTGGGTCTGGATCTGTTTACCGGTGTGATGTGGAACGTGACTTAGGTTCTGTTTGTGGTTGCCATGGTGATTCCTTCCCATGGTTCTGTGTCAGCTAAATGAAGAAGGACATTTTTCCAGGGCAAGGACAGCACTCCGGGGCTGCTGGGGATGGTGCCAAACACCTGGGCAGCCTTTAGCCCTTTGGCCCTCTGGCCCTCACCGGGTGCTGAGAATAGGCATCCAGCTGGGCGACCCAGCAGAGCCTGACCAGAAAGACAATCAGCATGGGTGGGATTGAGGGCTGGGAGAGCATTTATTAAATCGAACTACTTTCATGGTTTAATGAGGTTGCAAATCCTTCTTGAAAGCTTCTCTTTGGGGTAACAAGTGATAGTTTGTGATAACAAGTGATAGCTTCAGCATGCTAAGACGTGAGGAGAAACCTGGGTCTGGAAGAGCCAGGGGGTCGCCTAGCCTCACTAGCACTGAGGAGAGGTTGTAGTCACCCTTTTGCCCCATTTCAGGACTGTCATTTAGCTGGGCAAGTGCTGCTTCCTTCAGTAAGCCTACCTTCTGCCTCCCAGGCTGCCCTCTGAAGCCCTCTGAGAAGAAGCCCTGCAGAGCCTGGACAGGATGGCCACCCATGGAGGACTGTGGGGGGAGGTGCAGCGAGTCTCTGAAGCCTGGAATACACATGTGGATTTGGGGGTCGGAGCGTCTGTGCATCATCAATTTAAAGAGGGACTCTCCTCAATGAAAATACAGCTCCACACACTCTAGGGCTGGCCTTGGAAGGAACACTGCTTCCACATAGAGGGATACTGGCAATGAAGGCTTGGGCTTGGCATATCTGGGCCCAAAATGTGCTTCCTGCCTCAGAGCTCTCCCGCTGAAGATTGTCGGCACCATTTTCTGGCCCCAGAGGATACTGTCGCTGGTGTTTTTTTAAACAGTTGTTGTTGTTGTTGTTGATTGCCGTCAAGTTGAGCATGACTCATAGCGACCCCATGATGAACTATCAACTTTTATCAAAGTTCATAGTGTTTCCAAAGGCATGTTGTTTAGGAAGTGGATGCTACTCCTGCTTGTTTGTATCAATCACCCATTCATTGCTTTCCCATCACACAGGTGTGCAATCACTGTTTTCCCAGGCATCATGTTGTTGTTGTTGTTGTGTACTATGGAGTTGGAACTGATCGATGGTTGACCCTCCAGCAGGTTTTCAAAGGGAGTTTAATCACATGAAAGTATATTTCCCATATTTCTCCTGCAGAGCAGCTAGTAGATTAGAACCAAATGCTTTTGGGATTGCAGTACAGCTTCTTCCCGCTAGGCCACCACAGCTCCCTAGAGATGACCCTAGAAGGTCCGATATCTACAGTGCTAATGACTGACCCCACGTTGCATGTTCCCTTAGTTGGTGTGAGGTAGGACCTCCCCAAGGGTCCTTCCAAGCAGCAAGTATTGAGAACAAGCTAGCGGAGAGTCACTCTAAGTCCTCACAGAGTCAGAACAGGGCTAGGTTAAGATGAGAAATGTTGGCATCTGACTTGCTGTTTTGATGGTTGGTCATAGTGCCCAAAATGCTCTTCTGTAAAGGTTTAACTCAAGCTCGGGTCTTGTGACCCAGTTGTCCCGTCTAAAGATGGGGAGGTGGTTAGCATGTTGACAGATTGTTTCATGCCTGGACCAAACACACTGTTGGACCGGGTGGTGCTGCCAAGTCCACCCCAACTCCCAGCACCCCTGTGTACAGCAGAGATCCTGTGCCGTCCTCACTGCTGTACCCAAGCACATGGTGTGCTCACATCCAGCTTCTTGCGCCTTCTGGTTCCTTCCACTGAAGAGTGCATCCAGCTCCCGTAGGTTCCTTGCAGGAGAAGGAGATGGGGTGTCACACCTCTTCACCAGTCACCCACCGCCACCCCGTGAGACTGTGCCAGCAGGTGTGGTACCGAGAGGTTGTCCTTAGGGGAGACTTCCTCCTCAGGCTCTGCCATGAGAATAACAATTCAAACATCCTTCAGAGTATTTTTTCTCTACTGGATGGCAGGTGCTGTTATAAAGATTTTTCATGTACTTAGTGGTCCCCACAGCACTCTTAGAAGGATTGTGTTGCTGATAACCCCTATCTTGTCATTGTGGAAACTGAAGCATAGTGGGCTTCCTGACTTGCCTGCAGTTGTACAAAAGAAGCTCTGATGGCATAGACCATAGGAATCTGCATCGTCAACCCAAGGGCCATGCCTTGGTAACAGTTGGAATGAACCAGGGCACCATGGACAGTCTCCTCCCATGTGATTTATAGCTTTAGACCCAGTGCAGAGTCAGCTGTGGGGTAGCTATGAGCTAGAATTCTAACCCACCAGTGCCAGCTTGGTGCTATGCCACTGGAAACTCTGTGGGGTACAACAGTTAGCATACTTGGCTTCTAACAAAAAGATTGGTTATTTTATTCTACCTAGAGGCATCTCTGGTAGCCTAGTGGTAAGAAGCTGTGCTGCAATCCCAAAGGCATGTGGTTTGGACCCACCACCAGCTTTGTGGGAGAAGGATGGGCAGTCTCCTTCCATGTGATTAACTGTCTCTGAAAACTCACTGGAGGGTCAGCTGTGAGTGGGTTCTGACTCAGTGACACACAACAACAGCAACAGCAAAAACAGGCATCTCAGGAAAAAAGGCCGGGTGATCTGTTTCTGAAAAATCAGGTATTAATAACCCTGTGGAGCACAGTTCTGCTCTGGCATTTGAGAAATTGCTGTGGGTCTGCGTAAGCAGCAACGTTGGGTGTGGTGGGGATGGGATGGGATGGATGGGATGGGATGGGACGACGGGACGGGATGGGATGAGATATGGTATGGTATGGTATGGTATGGTATGGTATGGTATGGTATGGTATGGTATGGTATGGTATGGTATAGGGGGATGGTATAATGGATGGTATAGTACAGTATGGCCTAGAGTATGGTCAGGGATATGGTATGGTCTGAAGTATGATATGACGTGTGTGTGGTATGGTATTGGGTATGATATAGTATGGGGTATTCTGTGGTATGGGATATGCTATGTTATAGTATAGGGTATAGAATGGTATGGTATGGGGTATAGTGTGGTATGTTCTGACGTATGGTACATGATAGGGTATAGAGTGATATGGTCTAGAGTATGGTCTGGTCTCAGCTATATTCTGAGGTGTGGTATGGTTCCAGGGTATGGTATGATATAGGGTAAAGTACTCATATTCTAAATTTCACAGGTTCAGAGATGAAGAGAAATTTTCTCCCACGGTGTGTAATATGTCTAATTGGAAGCAGGAGTGGTATCCACTTCCTAAATAACTTGTCTCTGGAAATTCTATGAACTTTGATAAATGTTGATAGTTGTAGAGGGGCTTCAGGCCTTTTGTTGCTCTACTCAAAGGCAATTATCAACAACAACAACATGGTGTGTTATATAGTATAGGGTATAGTATGATGTAATATGGGGTATAGTGTGTCAAGGGGATGGTATGGAAGTATAAGGTATAGTCTGGAACGGGGCATGGTATGATGTAATATAGGTTATATTATGGTCTGGGGATGGGATGGTCCAGGGGATGGGATGGTTATAGTATAAGGTATGGTATGTTGTGGTCTCGGGTATGGTCTGAGGTATAGTATGGTGGGGTGTTCAGCCATTAAACAGGACCCCCCTCACCCTGCGGTCCTTTAAGAAGAAGTGTGTAAATGGAAGGGGGGTGACAGTGGCTCTTCATAAAGCTCACAGTCCGCACAGAGCATTACAGGTCCTTCTCCCTCCACAGGCTTCATCCCCCCGCCTCTCATCTTCGGGGCCGGCATCGACTCCACCTGCCTGTTCTGGAGCACGTTCTGTGGGGAGCAGGGCGCCTGCGTCCTCTACGACAACGTGGTCTACCGGTACCTGTATGTCAGCATCGCCATCACACTCAAGTCCTTTGCGTTCCTCCTCTACACCACCACGTGGCAGTGCCTGAGGAAAAACTATAAACGCTACATCAAAAACCACGAGGGCGGGCTGAGCACCAGTGAGTTCTTTGCCTCTACTCTGACCCTAGACAATCTGGGGAGGGACCCTGTGCCCAAAAACCAGACCCATAGGACAAAATTTATCTATAACCTTGAAGACCACGAGTGGTGTGAGAACATGGAGTCTGTTTTATAGTGACTAAGGAGGGCTGGACTCTGGATTAGTAACCTGAGGGTCATTTTTCTTAAAAAAAAAAAAGGAAGAAAAAGATCTTTTTTAAAAAAATCCACACATATCACATACATACATACATACAGTAAATGCACACGCAGACATACACACATGCACACCCACTCAATCATTGAAATGCTCGCACACACACACACACACACACACACACACACACACACACGTGCAGGACCTTGGTCCTCTTTCTCCAAAGCAGAGCCAGACGGGATTGAGGATGAGCAGAGGCTGGATCGTGTGTCTGCTTTGCCGCAGGCTCTCGGAGGATGCACACGCTGCTGGGGCCACGTCAGTTCTGGAAGGCACCTCTCAGGTTTCAGGATGCCAACATCTGCAAGCAACAGGCACTGCCAAGTTCAGGGATCAGTGGTGGCCAGCTTGGAGGACCGACATATCTGGATATACGCACACATACCAAAACAAAAAACAAAATAAAAAAACACCCAACATTAAGGAGAAAGTCTACTAAAAAACAGCAACAGACAAACACAAGTTGACCACATGGCCAGAACAAGCACTAGTGACACACCCCGTGCCCTTCCTCCCTCCACGTGGGGTGAAGAGGCATGCCGCCAAGGAGTGAGGACCCCCAGTCCACACTCTAACTTTCGCAATATGGGTCACTGTGTAGACGCCTCACCCACTCTGCATGTGGTTCAAGACCCCAGAGTTCTCTCAGCGATGCTAACGGGTGATCCGTGCTGGGGTCTACAATTGCCACCTCTCACCTCTCACCAGCTGCATTTCCGTGTTCAAGACTGAGGGTCTAGGGGGAGCTAAGTGGGGGACCAGCACCTAACTTTCCCCCCACTGCACCCGAGGGGCAAGCACCCACTCCCCCCAGCCCCACAGAGCGACCTCAGGAAGCAGCGGGCCTCACCTGGCTATGACTGACCTGCTCAGAGCCACCGAGACCCAGCCAGTCCAAGTCATTTGCTTACATTTGCCAAACTTTTTGCCATTTTTTTAAAAAAAGAAAACAGTGCATATGAATTTCAAACTGTTGTATGTATAATCCTCTAATACTATTTTGAACTACTTCCAAAATCTGTGTTCACCCTGTAGTCACTAACACAGTTCCCTAGGCTGAATTTATTATGCTCACTGCTTTTACTTTTCTCCTTTTTTTAAATGCACACACAAAAAAAGAAAATTAGAATGTGATTCAAGGGATGCAATTAATCTATTGTAATTTTTATGATTTATCTTTACTCAGATACCCTACAGAAACAATGAGGAAATACAGTGTTAAAAGAAGGGAGGGGGAAGGGAGAAGTACTTCAAAAAGAGTGGATTTGCAGCCTGCCTTTAAAAGAACCACATTCAGACAGCAGGGGATAATGTGATGAATTGCAAATTCGCCTTCTCGCTCTATTCCCCATGATTCAGTGATCACTACCATGGGAAGCCCTTTTATATTCATGCTTTGCATTCCGACAGGGGTTCTTCCCAGCTGGTGAGGGAGACACTTAGTTGGGGGGCGGGGCGTCCAAGCTTGGTGCCATGCTGCTGGGGAGAGGGAAGAGCTAGAGAATGGTTCCCATCCCAAGCTGTTGTGCGGTCTGTGGTAATGAATAAGACCCACCAGCTTGTCTGCGCTACCGCAGGCCTGGCACCTGAAGCCATCGATAATGTTTGCGAGGTCAACCTTAAACTAATGGGTCTTTGTCTGTGTGTTTTGAAAGTGCCCAGATCTCAAACAGCTAAAGAATAAATAAACCTGTTACTGTTCAGGATAAAATCATGTGGGGTAAAAAAAAGCATTTACAGCTAGCAGACATAGCCTTGTAAAAGGACTTTTTCTGTAAGGGGTCTTAGCTAACATGTACATTAAACTCCTCTCTGTCTCTTACTTTCTCTCCCCTCCTCTCACTCTCTCCTCCCCCCGCACCCGCACTCTAAAACACACACACTGACAGACCCAGCTAATTTTCCCTTCATGTGTCTTATATATTTCCTGAGTGATACATCTATGATTAACATATTTGGTTGTTAGCCACAATGTTAGAGAGTCAAGTTTACCCCTGAGGCACCTTGGAAGAAAGGTCTGGCAATCTACTTCCAGAAAAAACACACAAACAAAAACAAAACTGTTGAAAACCCAGTGGAACACAATTCACTCCTGACAGCTAGGGCTGCTGACAGGGTCAGCTCAGCAGACACTGGAGCTTTTTTGGTTGTTGTTGTTGTTGTTCTTGTTGTTGTCTTTATGCTTCTTCTGGTACCTCCTTCCGTGCCACACTCATGACCCCAGAGAAAGACCTCAAAGATCATTTGGTTGGCTGGTTGTTGTTTGTGGTCCCTCCTCCACTTCAGACATATTTACTACACACTCACACAACAAAAGAATCAGGAAAGAAGAGGGAGAGGGAATTGTGCCAAATTTTCACAAACACTGTAAACAGGGAGACGTGTGAGAGCCTCAAACTCAAGAAAACACCAAGCAAGGTCGACCAGAAAGAAGCCTGTGTCTCGGTGCTGTGCTGCAGCGGGGAGCCACCCGGGCCAGGGTGCTTCCAAAGCAGGCCTTTCATCCATTCAGTGTTTGCCTGTCTGTGCTTATGAAAAATGGGGGCACCCATCAATATGTTAATGAGAGGAAGGGGGACAGTGCTCCCACCAGTTTATAAAATATGTATGCTCTGTCACTTCCGAGGCTTTGACAACATTCTGTACATGTTTTGGTTCTGTTTTGTTTTGAAAATGTATTGCTAATAGATCACTACCCTCTTATATATTATTGCATAGCTCTCCAAACTCAGTCACACCTTGCAGCCCTAAGACCTTGTGTTTTATGGGCTATTTACTATAAAACATTTTTTTTCTGTAAAACCCTTTGCATTTTGGATTTTGTTTTCTCCTGAGATTCTAGGATGAGTAAGAATGAGTTGTTAGAATGATGAAGGCAGACGATTGGCGGGCTATGGCGAGATAGCTTTGAAGTGTGTTTATAATTTTAATTTCTATCTCATGCTATAGAACAAAAACCTCAAACTAGCTTGAATTTCCCTTTTGTGCTGCAAAGAATCATTGTACATACAATGCTAGATCTACCCTGTTGGTTATATGCTTGGTTTTGAGTAGTATTTGGAACGAGAGATTTTCTGCTGAAATCTACATTGGACTTAGAGAAAATGCAATATGAGGAAAGGAATAAACCTAGCAAGTGAGTTCTCTCTCCCCTACTACAAATTCCTTCACCATGTATTTGGCTGCACCTTTTGATAAATCTTTTTAACTCCTCTTTTATAGACCAAGAAGTTTTTACCAACTTTAGCCCTGAATGTGTGGTAAACACATCATGTACACGTGTCTGTCTCTAGGGACGGAATTTTTTTTTTATCTTCCTTCAGCTCAGTCTTGCCTGCTCCTCCTATTTCCACAGAAGGAAGGTGGAGAGGCGCCAAGGTGCCTTTGGGACACTGTACCTCCAGCAGGCCACAGAAAGAGGGCATTCCTCAGTGTAAGAAGGCCTGAGAGAAGCCTTCTCTCACAGTCCCCCTTAGGAATTTGCTGGTAGCGCCTCTCAGATGAAGTAATAACAAGGAGCTAAAATATGACTTGAACGTCTCCAAAGTATGCCAAGAATGAAGCAGTGTGCTTCTCCATAACAATAGCTCATTTTTTTTCCCTATACAATGGAACTCCAGTGACGATTTTTAAGTCTGCTTATATGGTATCTGCATACCATGGACTGCTAGGAGAACAAACGTGTGTCCTGGAGATGGTGAATCCACACTGCGACTTGGAAGCAAGTATTTTGAAGCTCCATGTGACATACTTCGGGTATGTTGCCAGGAGGGACCAGTCCTTGGAGAAGGAAATCATGCTTGGAATTGTAGAGGAATAGCATAGGAGAGGAAGATCCTGGATGAAAAGGATTGACTCAGAGACTTGGGTAATGGATGTCAAAGACAATCAGATTGGCTCAAAAGAGCGAATTCAAAGCTGTTGTACATTGGGTCGCTGTGAATCACAAGTGACTTGACGGCACATGACAGCAACACCCTCAAGTACCCTAAGTCCACGTCTGATAATAATGATGGCAAGTTTCTCCTCACTCTGATATGATAAGTCCTCCCAGTTCATCATGTCAGAAAGCCCACAGCCTGAGGTAACTCAAAGCTATGATCCACATAGGACAGCCAGCAGGTTTCAGGGATGACAACCACACAGTTCCTGAGGAATTTCTTAGAAAAGACTGCTGTGCTGGTTAGTGGATACCTGTCATCCTTGAGTGAGGCCAGTCCCTGAAGGGGACAAGTGTGAAAACCTGTGAGGGAAGTAGTAGTATGGCCACAGCCCTTGCCGTCTACTGCTCCAGGCCCCAGAAGCAAGATTTCTTCACTGCATGGGTTTGTCGGGCCTTAGCACTCTGATCTAAGCATGGCTTAGAAGTCCTGAAAGCTCTCATCATTACTGCTAAGTACTAACATAAAATAAAGAGGGAGAGGAAGTCACTGGAGTCGATCAAACAGGAATGAGGACAGCGTGACCCTCCACCTGGCTTGGTGGAGTTAAACTGTATTATTGTCATTTATTTGGGTTGGGTTGGTTTTAACAGAGAGAATGAGCAACCTGGCAGACAGTTTTCAGTTCAGTGGAAGGAGAATATTCCCTCTCTTGTGCGGTTCTAAGTTGAATATTGTGATTACTTGAGAGAACCAGGTAGCTGGCCAGAAGCAGAGAAGGCAGACATGGTAGGGATTTCATTTCTCTTCTCAGTTCAGGTCACTGCCTACTCACCAGGCTTTCTCAGCCATGCACTGTGAGATGGTTTCTCTTTGTGTTAGGATCTGGGTCAAGTACTCA